ATTTTCCTCAAATACATATCAGGAAAAGAACTTGTACATATAAATGAATATATATATATATTATTAATTATATATATTATTAATAAGGACCGGAAAGACAGCTCAGTACTTAAAAGTACTGGTTGCTCTTCCAGAAGAGCCAAGGTTGATTCTCAATGTCCAAATGGTGGCTCACATTTTTATGTAACTCCAATTCTAGGAATCTGATGCCCTCTTTTGTCCTCCATGGGCAAAGGGCACACATGCAGTATGCTGATGCACATATAGGCAAAAAATATTTACCTATACACATAAAAATAAATAAACAAAACCCACCAATTAAAGCTGAAAAAAATCTAACTAACAATGGGAAAGAGTATTTGTATGTTTTCTCTCATAAGCAAAAGCTAAAATGAAAACAATGTAACAGATGAACCAAAAGTAGTAGTGATTACTCAGGCAAGGGAGTTGGGAGGGTAGAGATGATGAAAGCATGATATATGTATACATGGAAATGTCATAGTGAAATCCATTAATATTGAGATTTAATATACATTAATAATTAAAATAACAAAACAAATAGAAAAAGAAATCAGAACCACTTTTTACACATATGCCAGGACTTAATAGATAAATACATCGTACTTAATGAGAGCCAGGTTTCTCACTATCAGAAAAAGATACTGCAAATAAACAAAGTGAATGAGAAAGCCAGAATAAACTCTGTGGCATTAGGATTGAAAACATTATTATGAACTCATGTTTATTTTACTACAGATAGATACACATTCATACAGAGATAGCCACGTCCACTGAAAGGGCTTTAAAAGCACGAAGCACACCCAGTGACCAGATCTTGTTTCTGAACACCATCAGCCAACCTAAGGAGCAGGGCTCTGGTGAGAGATGGCTCATGCCAGGGCTAAGACGGCCAAATACCAGACGAACCCGACTACACAGCACCGCAGTGTAAAGGACACTAAAAGAGGGTAAAAGACGCAAAAGTCAACCTGAAAGAGTTATTAATTACGTTACTTATTTTGGAAAGGGTTTGCTATGTATCCTAGGCTGGCCTTGAACTCACTAAGTAGCCTAGGCTAGGCTTGAGTGGAAACACTGGTGGAATCTGAACAGTCAGGAGTTAACAGTGTCATATTAATGTTACAGTCTTAGCTCTGCCTTCACAGCATGTCAGCTGCACCATGGATGCAGAAGATGTCATCATTAGTGGAAATTCTGAATTATCATTGCAAGATTTTTTTGTTGTTTTTTTTTTTTTGTTTTTTTTTGTTTTTGTTTTTCGAGACAGGGTTTCTCTGCATAGCTTTGCACCTTTCCTGGAGCTCACTTGGTAGCCCAGGCTGGCCTCAAACTCACAGAGATCCGCCTGCCTCTGCCTCCCGAGTGCTGGGATTAAAGGCGTGCGCCACCACTGCCCGGCTGCAAGATTCTTATAAATCTAAAAATTTGGTTTTTACAGGCAGATGCTCCAAACCTGGCACTTCTTCTAAGATAGGAGATATGAACGCCAACTAAGACATGGAGTGTTCATCACAAAACTGTAATTTAGAAGTGAAAAGGGAACACTATATAACCTTTAGAATCCTCTTGAATGAAAGTCCCTCCAAGGACACAGTTAGCTACCAAAGACGACAAGATGATACCCGGAACAATGCCGTAACTGTTGAAACTGTATTTCTAGCTCAGAACTTACAAAGAAAACTACAACCAACTCAACATTTCCTACAGAAAACAGAGAGGAAGGACATTGCCTGCCGGGAAAGTAGCAAGGCACCACTCTAACAAAAACCAAATGAAGAGCAAGCTAACTAGAACACGGAGACAGCTCAGCAGGGAAGGCTGCGTGCTGGGAAAGCCTGGGTCCTGAGTTTGGATCCCCAGCTTCTATATAAAAGCAGGGCATGGCCTTGTGAGCCTGTAACCCCAGTGCTGGGGGAAATAGTGGAAACTAAAGGATCACTGGGCTCGCTGGCCACCAGCCTAGTCAAAAACTGGGGAAGCCCGGCTCAAGGGATAAGGCAGAGGTGATAGTGGAGGCCTCCTAACATCCTTCTCTAGCCTCCAAACACACGAATATGGAAAACCGCACACACATACATTTATCACCCACAACACAAAAAAGACAGCAGCAAGAAAACAAAACTGCAGACCAATATTCCCCATGAAAATAAAAGCAAAACATTCTCTAAATTTTTAAACAAATTGAACACAGTAATATGGTAAAAATAATTTATTATGACCAAGAGGATTTCCTTCAGGCATACAAAGTGGGGTTAACATTCTAAACTCAACCAATGTACTCCAGCACAGCACTACAACAGAACAGAAAAGTTAAAAGACACACAACTAGAGCAACAAAAACAGCTAACAAAACCCCAGACACAATGTAAAAGCCATAATGACGGCAGCAGACATTGCCTAGGAAATATAGTTAAATGCCAGAGTTCATGTTGGGCATGGATGTAATGTGACAAGATGCCAAATCTTTGCAAGGCATCACCTATAAACTCTGTATCTCTTAACAGATAATTATTTAAAGCCAACTAAGAAGAGGTTTGAAAAGGATAACTGATTGATTTGGGCATCAAATATGCCCTTTCCCTTGGGATAGTGAAGAGTGATTCTCATATACTAAAAATACTTGGGATGGAGTAAATGGACTTGGACCAATTTGCAAAGGTAACAGTACTTCTAATATGCTACAAGTAAACTTAGAGTTTATAACAAGACACTGTATTGGATCCTTTCTATTTTAATGTTTATTTATATGTATATTTGTGTCCCTGTTAGTATGTATGCCACCTGTGTACAAGTGCCCATGGAGACCAGAAGAGGGCATCAGTCCCCTGGAGTTTGGGTTATAGGCAGTTGTGAGTCATTGTCATCATTCACACCAACACACACACACACACACACACACACACACACACACACACACCCCGTGCTGGGAATTGAATCTGGGTCCTCTAAAAGAGAATCAAGCACTCTAACTGATGAGCCATCTCTCCAGCCTAATAGATTCATCTTGAATTCAACAACTATTTAATACTTACTTCACATCTACTATGAGCAAACGTTTGTCTAGATGTTGGGAATCAAATGGGAAGGAAGGAGGGAGGGCGGGAAGGAAGGAGAAAGGGCGGGAGGGAAGGAGGAGAAATTGAAGGAAGAGGGAGACGTAGGAAGGTGGCGATCCCAAGTCTCATGGAGTTTAGAGAGACAAAAGTATATTAAGTAGGTATCATGTTAGATGGTAATAAATACTACAGTGAAAAACCAAGCAGGAGAGGGAACTGAGTGTGCTAGGGTGTGATTTTCAATGGGGTTATTAGGGAACTAGATGATTTCTAGGTTCACTTCCAGCTCAAAACTCCTTGACTTCCTTCTGTGTTAACTAGGCAGCAAAAACCACAGAGTGACCCTGTGAACCTGACCTCAGTAAACTCACGCATTCTATCACCCGAGTCCGTGTGTCACCACTTATATTTTAGAAAAACAGGATTAAGCATACATGTTTCCACCCTGAGACAAAGCATATGCAGCCACTTAATGACGCAAGTCATTTCCCAGTCCTGCTTGGGAAAGTAAGATAAATAAAACCTAGCAAGTTCTCCCCAGACAGGGGTCCTAAAAATGCAGCATTTTTGTGCATTGCAGGAAGGATTAAAACCTGACACTTTTCCCTCCCCCTACAATATATATACTCACGGCCTGGAATTGAGTCCTTTATTGACCCTAAGTTATAACACAATGGACAGTTGTTTCTCTAGCATGGAGGGTTGTCCATAGACAAAGAAAGTGCTATAAAGACCCAAACAGCTGCTACTGGGTACCATCGGACGTCTGCTATGTGCCAGGGACAGCACAAGCGCATGTATGAAGTTCAGCTGTGTGGACTGTCAATATCAGCACATTTCTACAGGTTGAACAAATTCATTAGCTCAAATCCTAGGAGAGAGTGTGCATAGGTAGCAGCACACATGTCTCCTGGAACTCCAGGAGCATGTGACTGTGTAGACAAACCTTCAGTGTAAGAGGTGCCTTTGGATAAGTGCGTATAAGTGACAGTGAGGAGAGGCTCTGTACGTGAGATACTAGTTCCTGTGTGCAAATAATTCCTGTGACTTCATGCCAAGTTGTACATTTTAAGTATTTTTGTACCCCATAGCGCATAGAAAGCTGTACACAGTACGTGGCTTCATCTGAAGCACAGTGTAATTTAGTGCTCACACCTGGCTCACAGAGACAGAACAGGCATTCCAAAGCTGCTACTCTTTCCCTCTCAAGGAAGAGTATGAAAAAGCATCCAGTTCTATGAAGATCTGCAATCCCCCCATCTGGACTGAGGTCACGGTTTCTTTGAATGCCTCACCAACCCCACATTTCTCTAGAGGTAAATACTGTTCACAAATGGGCTCTTATGTTTGATCCTATTGATTTTAAAATCCATCTTTTAAAAGTAGATTAATTCTGGGTAAATATAATCAAAGTACACATTAAATTTTAAGAAACTGTCTTCATCAAACCCAGCACTATGTATCTATACCAATGAAATGTGTTTTTGCATTTATCTATTCATTTAGTATCTGTAAGTGCGTGTGTCATAGAAGTCAGGGAACAATGTGTAGGAGTGGGCTTTTTCCTTCTGCCACCCTAGTCCCAAGGACCACACTCACGTCGTCAGGTTTGGGGGCAGGTACCTTAGCGGCTGAATCGTCGGTACCCGCCCAAATGCTTACTTTCAGTAAATTAGTCCCTACTGGTCTCCCCCATCCCTCCCCGTCCTGGCAGCTCTTTTTACTCATTATACACTTTTTATAAGATGTTAATAAAATAGTCTGCTAGTCATCTTCCAAGTAATTACATATAATCTCAAGTTTCATCTAACAGAATATAGCAGATTTACCTTACATTATTAGCAAATGGGAACTTTTATTTCTAACATTTAAAATACACCAGCAGCCATCTTAATGTAACATTATTAGCATCATTATTGGTACTGTCTAGAGACTTTTTTCTAAGAATAATATGATAATCATTTGAAGAAAACAAGAAGTTTGAACAGGTACTTGTACAAAAACCTACCAGCTCATTGCTTGTCGACGTGAGTCTTAGTTTTTCTTCAATTTCCTTTCCAATTCTCTGAACAGTTACCTGAGTCTGTTTAATTGCACACTGGGCTCTATGAAGCCTAGAAATACAAGTTGTAGAAAAATGTAAGTGAGTTAATTACAAAGTCTAAACACAGAGAGTCACAGACATGAATTATAAATCTCCTAGGATAAACAGAGCCAACCCTGAACTAACCAATTATTTCTAGATTCAAACATAATGAAGTAACAGGAATCACAATCCTAAAATAACAGCGCTCTGAAAAGCCTACCTCTGCTATAACATAGTTATGGTGAAGGACTCTGGAGGGTTGGAAGCACTTTAGAAAATGATCGGGTTGAGGGGCTGAGAAGAAGGCTTAGTCAGAAAGGAGCCTACTGCTCAAGCATGAGGACCTGAGTTCGATACCCAGCACCTATGTAAAAGCTGGACCTGGCAGCACAGGCCTGTAATCTCATTGCTGGGAGGCAGAGACATGGGGATTCATGGGGCTTTATATAAATTACTAGAATTTATATAAAGAGTAAAAGATCTAGAAGTAACAAACCAATCTTAAAATCTGTCAGATATCAAGGTTTTCTGCAGTTGCATGATCAATAACATAAGTATGTTACTAACATAAAGATGAGAACTAGATCAATAACCAGGTGCTCTTCTACATGCAGATATTTGGTAGGCAGAGGTAAGACGACTTGAGCCCAGGATTTTGAGACCAGTGGTGATAGAGTAGTGAGACTCTGTCTCAAACAAGGGGCTGGAGAGATGCCTCAGTGGTGAAGAGCACTGGTTTTACAGAGGACCCAGGTTTGGTTGCCAGAACCCATAAGGAAGCATACAGCCATCTGTAATTCCAGTTCCAGGGGTCTCAATGTCCTCTTCTGGTCTCCATGGGCACCAGGCACACATGTGATGCCCATACATACATACATACATACATACATACATACATACATACACACACAGAGAGAGAGACAGAACAACCATTTACTAGTTTACCAGAACCAGGAATGTCTGTTCACCTACAGATACCATGAGGAAAGTGAAAATGTAGTCTTCAAACTGGGAGAAAGGAGCAAAACCAAAGAACTATGCGGGAGCCACACCAGGGAAAAGACATTCTTCCATAAATGGTGCAGGAAGCTGGATTGGATATCCTCATAAAGGAAAAGGAAATCAGATCCCTCTCACTCTGCAAAAAAAAACAATGTGGATCAAAGACTTTAAGTCCTAAAACTCTGAAACTGCTAGAGAAAAAATAAAACAAACAAAAACTACTTCAAGACATAGCACGGGCAACTTGGAGATACAGGCATAGACAAAGGCGTTCCGCAAGGACTCCAGCAGCGCAGCGGGATCCGCCGACGGTGGAGTGCGCAGTCAAAAAGCCGCACAGCAAAGCGAGCGTCAGCAGGATGAAGACAGCCTGCGGAGTCGGAAGAGCATCTGCTGATGGCAGCCATACCCACGGCTAGTAGAGAAAAAACTCAACAGGTTGGGGATTTAGTTCAGTGGTAGAGTGGTTGGCCCTGGGCTTGGTCTGCAATTCCCAAAATAAAATAAAACAACCCAAAATTAAACACACACCCAAACCCCCACAGATTATTTGTTCAATGAATGGGCAAATGAACTGAAGAGACATTCTCAAAAGGAAAAAATAATAAATCACCAATAAATATACAAACAGAAAGTGCCTAACAACCTCTGCCCCAGGGACAGGAAAAGAAAAACCACATGGGTGCCCATTCCTCCCAGCACCAAGAAAACCAAGGACATCAAAAGCTTGCAAGGGTCGCTCAGGAGACATTATGTATGTATGTATGTATGTATGTATGTATGTATGTATGTATGTATGTATGAATGAAACTACCACTGCTTTGTGCACTAAAAATTGATTTCAAAGAGACAGTGAAGTAAGCATAGAAAAAGGAATTTAACATCTTAGTCTCAAGATGAATGTAATGACATTCACGGTGAGACGCTGTTTCACACCCATTAGAACTAAAGTTACGCGATGGCAGGGTGGGGAGCAGCTGGAATGTACGGGCACTGCTACTAAGTTAAATAATACCAACATTTTGAAAAGGCAGTTCCTTAGGAAATTTAAAACACATCTAACCTTCGGTCCAGCAGTTCTAATCATAAGTGCTTACCCAGAAAAGACAAAAACGTTAAGTCCACAAGCTCGGTTTCAGAATGCTCACAGAAGCCAGGTGTAGTTGTGTGCCCTATAATCCTACAACTTGGGAAGCGGAGGCAGGAAGATCAAAAGTTCAAGGCCAGCTTGAGCTACATAGTCAGTTCAAAGCCAGCCAAATTTACAGAAAACACTGTCTCCAACAACAACAACAAAAAAGGTCACAGAAAACAATCCAAATATCCACCAACTGGGACACTAAGAACCAAATGGTAACAGTCTACTGAGAGTATGTGATACACACATGACTATGAATAAATCTCAAAAACATGCTGAATGAAGAAAGCCAGAAGCAAAACAAGAATAGCTGTGTCCTGCTCTTGATCTAAAACCCACCAGCAGATAAGACCTACCTATGGTGTCAGAAGAATAGCTAGCTGCTTCTGTGGCCAGGGACAGACACTAGGGAACTGAGGAAGTCTGAGGAAAACTCACATTATGATGTACTGTATGTCAATTTGACTTCATTTATTAAAACTGGCTATCAATTTTTAGCCTTTGTAGTGGGGAGAAGGAGTCGCTCATTTTTTAACGGATTTATGGCATCAATATCTCTGGGAGCATGTGAGTAGGACACTTCTAGGCTGTTGGGAATTTCTTCATAGTTGCTGAGGTCATCTGAAAACTGTCAACTCTAGGAGGCGCCTTTGCTCGTGAGACCGGTCATTCAGCAGCTCCCTCAGGACTGCGCCATCCTGTTCCTCTTGATGGGCCTATGTATGCTTAGTTATACTGATAGTAACACAGTCCTACAAAGGCACCTCGACAGAAACCTGAGTGCAAGGGGAGGTCTTTGAGAAATGGCCCTATTTCATCCCCAGCCTATCTCCCTGGATCTTCAAATTCAGTAATACTGATCCACTGGCATTTACCTGGACATAATCTTCCATGTCTTATTCTTGCGCCTCTTTATAAGCCGTGAATCTGCCCACACATTTTCTCTGCACCCTTGCAGGTAAGCAGAGCTTTACTTAACCCACGAAGAGGCAGCTCAGCCATAGCCTCTGCTCCGCTGCCCTTCCCTGGCTGCACCAGGCAGCTGGAGGCACTTGCTCCTTGCTCTGGACATACGCACCACACCACCCACACACAGCACCGCAGCAAACAGCACTAAGGACCATGCATACAGGGAATGGTTCTTCCCTTGTCCTCTTCCTTAGCAGCTCTTAATGAGGGGCAAGAATACTCATCTTCTCACACACGCTCTAGATGCTGAGCACAGGGAGGGGTACAACAGAGGCGCCCAATGGATTTCCTGATGTCCAGAGTTTACACATAACATTAGCACATTCGTGAGATTGATAGAGTGGGAGATTAACTGAAAGATCACTGTTTCCTACATTTATAAATTCAAAATACTTTATCAAGAAAAACTGCACAGAGACCACTCCTTCAGGCAGGGGAAACAAGCAATTTTTACTAAAAACAATAGGTATTATCAACCCGCGGAGACGCCAACAGAGCGGTTACTTCGCGGGGAGCTGCCTAGAACTCCACTGGTACTGTGCAAACTACCTTGTCAAATGGCAAGGACTTTCAAAATAAAAATGATTCATGACCATAATTAATGTATGACTTCAACTATTTGGCTCTCACTGCCCCAGACGCTTTCTGATCTTACCTTAGGGGCTTAAAACCCACAGACAGAGTCACATTTCCTCCACTCTTCAGTGTTATCCAAATAGACCCTCAGAGCCCGGCCACATCAAGACCGGCCTCAGAATGGCCCCCTTTCATATCCAACTGGAGAAGAAAAGTTTCAAGGATTTAGGCTTTTCAAAATAACATGGCACATCCTGATCCTCGCGGGGGTGAGGAGGGGAGGGCCTGACAAGAGAAGAAGCAACTGCTTTGCCTTCACACAGGATGGCCGCCTGAGGAGGGGATGCTTCCTGAATTCATGCCTGTGGAAATTCTCCACAAAGAGAAACACACCATCTAGTCACTTGGGTGACGGGTCAAGGCTAGTCATCTAGTCACTTGGGTGACGGGTCAAGGCTAG